TGCCTCAGCCAACAGCAGCAAGCTGCAGGTGATCCAGATGCAGCCACAGGAGACGCTGTGGCAGGCTCCAGCAACTGCCGCCCAACCAACGACAGGCGCCCAGCTGCAGTGGTCAACGGTGGGCGGCTTGGAGGCCATCAAGACAGCGCCCGTGGCCGGCGTGAACGCTCTGGATAGCAGTGGCACAACCACATACTATATCAGTGCCGGTGATCTCTACCAGACGCAGCTGCAGTCGCAAACGGCGCAGCTAACGGGCAATGGATATGCGCTGCTGGATAGCAATGAGAACTATCTGCTGGAGCAACAGGAGCCACAACAGCAGACGCAACCGCAGCAGCAGCAGCAGCAGCTGCAGCACCAGCAGCAACCCATTATGATACTCATACAGCAGCCGGAGCTGCAGCAGCCGGTGGCATCCGCCAGCAATCCGCAGCAGCCGCCGCTGCATATAACATATGGCGCCAGCCTGGGTAATGAGCTGCACGCCGCCTATCCGCAACAACAATTGCAACCGCATCTACAGCAGCAGCAGCAGCAACAGCAGCATCAAGAGATGCAGTCACAGCCCCAACGCCTACAACAACAAGTACAAAATACAGTATTAAGCACACCTCCTGCTGCCGTGCCGCCGCCCACACGAGGCCGTCCGCCCGTATTGAAGTGCCGTTTCTGTCAGAATGGACCACGCTTCTCCAGCAGCCTGGAGTACAGTCGCCACATCATTGAGCTGCATCCGCCCGTGGCGCCATTCAACTGTCCCCATTGCCCGATGGCTTTTGCCGGGCGCAACAAACGCAACCAGCACATCCTTAGCAATCACATGGTGCAGCAGTTCCAGTGTGGGCAATGCTCGCAGCTGTTGCCCTCGCAGCGTGCTCTGGATCTACACTTGCAGCGCTTCCATATGCCACTGCCCACCGAGCCACCAGCTGATGCTGCTCCTGCTGGTGCTGGCGTGCGCCTCGAGGAGGTTCAATTGCAAATAGCCAACAACAACAACCACAGCGAGCAGCCCAAGCAACTCCAGCAACAGCAGCAACAGCAGCAGCACCACCAGCATATGCCTTGTAAGTACTAAAATGAACTAAGTTCAACAGGTGGTTGTCGAAATTTCTGAATTTCAATCATTGTCTGGGTATATTATTGACTTAGTTTTAGCTGATATCCTTCCATTAGTTATTCTTTTCTATCAATCAGTAAATTCGTTTGTTGTTTGCTTGCTACAAGAACTCATTTGAACTAGTTTCT